TTTCATTGCAAATAAAGGTGATACATTTGGTATCCTCCTCTAAACAATAACCTTGATTCTTTAAATTAATCATCAGAAATTTATTGGCACTCATTGAGTTTTTAAATTCAATTTTGCATCTGCCAAAGCCTATTTTTGACACAGTCGGAACACCGTCAACTTTCAGTTTCATTAATATACAACTAAGATCAATGGGATTAATGGTAAATCTTTTTGATTTATTTTCTTTGCCAGTCATTTTGTCTACATTTTTTTTTTTGATTAAATCATCGCATGGATGACAGGGGTTTGATCGCAGCTGTGTTGCCACATTGATCAGGTACTGGTGTGTGACTTATTGTCCGATTATTCAGGTTCGGACGCTTGATGGGCCCAAGGTGTGTCTCCAGAACATGTGTTTAGTGAGATCTTGAGATCGAAGAGTGTACACCCTCCGAATGTATTGTTTAAAAACTTGTTTGTGAAAATTGTATCTTTTTTGTAATTTTTTTTATATATATATATATATTTTTTTTTTTTATAACAGGCCTCCCCTTTTTGGCCTGCACAGACTTCCTGTCAGCGAGCTTGACAGGCGTTAAAAGTCATTTCCCTATACTTTATTAATCTAAAATGATTTATCACAAAATGCTTAAAAGTCCATATTAGCGCTTTTTATAAACTGTGCCAGTTCTCTGAGGTGGAGTGGCTCTTTTTTGATCAAGAGTTCATTTAGATCCTTATAATATTTAAAAATTCGATACTTACCCCTAAGACGGACGAATCTTTGGCATTTAAAAAGCAGATGTTCAGCGGATTTTGTGACATCACATGACTCACAGATATCCGAATCAATCGCTTTAATTTTGTATAGAAAGTACGTGTGTCCTGTCATCAGTGTGTTTATTGTCTTTATGCTTTTTGCATTCCATTTTAAATTATAGTGCCATGGTTTTTTGGGTATGTTTGGAAAGATTTTGATTAAACTAGTGCACTTGTTACTACATTTTTGTTTATACTCCTCGTTCCACTTGTGTTCTAAGGAGTTTTTAATTTCTCTTAAGGCTTCTTTCACACTAAATTGAATGTAAATGGTTTCCCCTTCTCGTATGGCGTCTTTTGCTGCCATATCAGCCTTTTCGTTTATCGTTACCCCTTTGTGCCCTGGAATCCATAGAATATCCAGTTTTTGCATGTCTGATGTGTCGATAATATTGTGAATGTCTCTTACTATGTATGAGTCTGTTTGTTTATTGTTTACTAGTTTTATCGCTCCTAGACCATCACAACAAATAACAGCTTTCTTATATCCATTATTGGCACATATCTCACTCGCTTTTTTAATACCTATCAGTTCGGCCCCTACAGATGAAAGCCTGTTTACTGTTCTATATTTATATATATTTCCACTGGGTAACTCTACAATTCCTATACCACACCTGTCCTGCATGACCGATGCATCTGTGGACAGAATATTCCAGCCTTCTTTTGAATATTTTTCCAAGATTTCAGAGAATCTGGCTCTGATTTCCTCCCCCGAGTATTCTTCTTTGTTCTTTGTCATTTCTTTTTCTCTTACATTAATCTTTTTACAGTGTTTATAATTATCACAGCTTTGTGAATTGTCGAAGAAAGTTTTAAATTCTTCTAAGGTACAAGTGTAACTCGTCTTTGCTTTTGATAGTCTTATGTTATCGAACATCCTGGGATTCAGCTTCTTGACCTTGAAAAGTTCTTTGGCTGTAAGCCACTTAGCCCTGAAACTTGGAGGCATTATTCCCGCCAACACAAAGATTTCGTGCTTGCTTGTATCAGGAGGCACGCCTACACATCTTCTCAGCACTCCTGCCTGTGCAATTTCCATGTCTTTATTGGACCCAACTCCCATGTCAGAGAAGCTGGTAATTGCATATTCTTGCTTGCTTCTTATAAACGATTTGAAGATATTAACGCTAGTCTTAGGTATCAGTCCCGACTTGATAGTTGTCGCTAATTGTATAAGCCTACTGCTTTTCCTAGTTACTTCTTTTACCATTTTTATATGACTGGTATTGGACATGTTAGAACTTATAAGCCTGCCTAAAAACAAAAAGCTTTTTTTCACTGGTATTAGAACATTTTTAACTTCTATGTTCAGAGACCTTCCACCTTCCCTTCCCATGTTCATAATCACAGATTTGCTAGGATTGAAACTGAAACCCAGATCGCCACATAATAGGCTAAAATCGTTTAATTTGTTTTTCAGATTTGCAACTACAGCCGCATAGTTATACCCATGTGACACCAATATAAAGTCGTCGGCAAATTGCATGATTTGTGTGTTGCAGTCCCCTACCTGATGTAGTCTTTTGGTGTAGATATTAAAAAGTAGTGGTGAAAGACATGATCCCTGGGGTAATCCTCCTTGCACCACTTCTACTGCATCTCCCAGTCTTAGCAACCTAATGGACATGAAACTTATAATCCAGTCCACATACATTTTCGGAAAACTTTCATTTTCCATTAACATCTTTAAAAAATTCAAGTTTACACAGTTGTAAGCGTTGTTTAGGTCAACAGCCGCTACTATCACATGCTCCTTGCTTTTTTTCCTTGCAGCTACCTCATTGATCACATCATTAATGCACATTGCAGCTGACTTATACTTCTGATACGCATAAGACCTATAGGGTAGAATTTCGTTGTCCTATATATATTTTTCAAGCTTGATTTTGATAATACTGTTAACTGTTTTGGCCAGGACCGATATTAAGGATATTGGTCGAAAATTTTTTATGTCTGATAGATCTTTATTTTTTTTTGGGATTGGCGTGATTTTAATTCTAATTCTGCCTTAGTGTCCCTGTTTAATGCGTTGAGCATCTCATAAGTGATCTTGTCAAAGCCTCCTGATGTTTTTTTGTTTCGACCTAGGACCATTTCTAGATCTTCAAGAGCAAATATCGGATTCTCGTTTTCTTTTGATGCATGCAATGTGGCATCAATGCTTCTGGCTTCAGCAGGTACTTGTTCTTTTAGCCATTCTAAGTACGACCCAGCTTTCTTTCTATTTTTTTCTTCACACCTAACCTCAAAATTTTTTGTTTCTTGTTCAACATAATTATTTTTTCCAGATTCCTGTTTTGATCCAGTCGTATCGGCCTCAGTCACTTCCATTTCTTCATATTCGCTACTGAACTCACTGTGATCATCAGAGTTTCCTCTTTTAGAAGTTAATCTTGCTTTTTTCGCTTTTGCATATTTTGAATCCGTGGCCAGGAGTTTCTCATTGGCCAGGGAGGCCATCTTGAGTTTTGGTTTGTAACTTATGTTATATTTGTTGATTGTTATCACTTTAAAAAATAAATATTTGCCAAAAATAAATTTATTCTATATTCAGAACCAGAAAAATATTTGACGCACCAGACTGTTCACCTTGAAGGTTTGATTCCGACTCTTACTTAATTTTATTTTTTATATTTTCGCCTACTCTAAAATCGCTCTATCAATACATTCTCTCTCTGTAAAGCAACATTTCCTTGACGAACTGGCGTTCGTGCCAGCCCGTTCCGTTGAGCAGGGCAGTCAAGCCCTGCCTGACAGTCCTTAGAGATGAACTACCTCAGTATTTTACCCTAATCTCCTTTAGGATGGGACATGTCTCCAGAAAGTGCATCGTATCCTCCGGTGCGCGCATATTGCACAGCGTGCACTCTGCTGCAGCGGGACTTCTGTATGGGGACGCGTTAAGTGGTAGAGTTTCTGTGCGCTTCGCTTCCCAACTCGCGATGAAATCGGTTTTGTTGTTTGTCACATATTAAAGTACCTTTTTTGGGAGTCGATCGTCAGGCATATCCATTACTTTAGATGCATAGCTGAAATGTTTTTGCAGCGTATATATAAATACTACAAAGAGACCAGTTTCCAGATGGATTGCGTACGTCGGCGGGAGTGGGAGTCAAAAGATTTTTGTAATATAAAATCGCAGGAGTTTTTCTGCTGCTTCATAGCGCTCGTGTCGCCACACCTCCGCTGCATAACAGCTTGCGCTTTTGCCATATATAGTGTATATTTTATGCTCGGAGAAACCTTACTTTTGCCAAGAAGCTTGTAATGTTCTATCTCAGGCTGAGGTATGCTTCAGTCTGTCCAGGGTTCTGAATTACAAGTTATTTATAATTCGCAGGACTTTATTTGGAAAACCAGAAACTTTGCCAGCAACTGAAAGTGGGTTAGCAAAATCACAGCACTCTTAATTACTTGACTTTTAAAAGATATCTTTATTCTTCCGTATTATTATGCTACCCGGTTATGTTATATATTATGTTATTTTTATTTGTCTACGATGGCTGGTGGACTGCCTGCCTGCGATGGCTGATTGACTGCCTTTTTCTTCATGCAAGGCAGTCCCTTTTATAGATCGGCCGGCCTTCGATTTTCCCATGAATGTCTTACAGATATCTTAGTTCTACTTCAGGGGAAGGGTTCTTACATAAATATATATTGCCGAATTATAGTCTGCGCGTGCAGACGGGCTGATCGGTAACAGAAGGTTACCTAATCATTAGCCCTGCAGTTAGTGTCCAATATTCCCGGTAAGGAAAGTCGGAGACTACTGACTGGCTCGCGCATGTGGGGGGTTTGCCCGGTAATCGAAGGTTACCTAAGCAATCGCCTCCCAATAAGTGTCCAATGTCCCAGGTAAGGTGATCGGTGTGCACCGGTACCGTGGGAAAGGAATTTCGTTGGCACTTCGGGAATATATATGTAAAGTGGTAGTATTGGCGTGAGTCGATAGTCCTCACTCTGATCGCCCACCACCAAGGATTGGGCCATCTCAAAGTCGTCGTGGTTGGTATGTCAGTAGTGGAGTTGGTCGGCAGATGTCAGAAAGTAAAGTTGAATAAGTTGTTTCTAAAGTCGTCAAAATCAGCAGTTCTGTTAATTACATATAATCAAAACCTTTAAACATTATACATTCATATATCCTACTTGTGTACAATACTCAATAAAATAGAGAGGCTGATGAAGGAAGAGTAAAAACGGACGAAGAGAAGACACCAGAGGCGAAAACAGGAGAAGCTGTCAAAATGGACATAAACAAAACTTTTTTTGTCCCATTTGACGAAATAGAAGAACCAGAAGAAAAAACAGAGAGCGAACAACATGTTGGGCTTCGTGGCGCACCAACAGAAGTCACGATCCACCACGACGCAAAATACTCAAATATCAGCGCGGAGATGAGCAACAACAACGAATTGAGTGAGGTGCTCAAACTGCTGGCAACAAAAATTACACAAAACGATTCCAGTAAAAATAATATCCCAATCGAGAGCTTTTCTAAGGTTGTTCCTGAGTTTGATGGAGTGTCAATTCCAATTAAGCAGTGGATAAAATGTTTTGATGAAAATGCCGACGCCTACGAATTGACTGACAAGCAGAAATATGTGAACGCTCGTATAAAAATTAAGGGAACAGCAAAGTTATTCCTGGAGACCACCACTGTGTCGGATTATCATACGTTGATTGGATTGCTGTTGGATGAATTTGACAAGACCCTGACCAGCGCTGAGGTACATAAGCAGCTAAGCGAACGAAAGAAACACGAAAACGAGAATTTTCACGAATACGTCTTAAATATGCGAAAGATAGCTGCTCTTGGATGTGTAGATGATGAGTCGGTGATCCGTTATATAGCCGAGGGAGTAAAGCTGCGTGACGATCTAAAATATCCCTTATACAGTGCTTCAACATTCAAGGAACTACGAAGCCGATTCGAAACAATCGAAATTATGACAAAATCAGCAGTGGACCGCAAACAAGCAGCGAAAAAGTATGACGTCGGTAAAGCAGGAACTCTGGGAAAACGATTTGACCAGAATCAAAGGCATTGTTTCAACTGTGGATCAACGCAACATATGAGAGCCGAATGCAAGGAAGATACTAAGTGCTTTAAATGCAACGGCAGTGGACATACATCCCGTGATTGTCTGGGCTTAAAACCAAGCGTCAATATAATCAGCGAGACAAGGGAAAAGGTGCTGTTCATCAATAATAAAACTGTGTCATGTCTAGTCGATACAGGAGCTGACGTGTCTCTTATGCGAATGAAAATATACAAGGAGAAATTTGCTGAATATCCACTGCAGAAAAGTTTTGCTAAATTGTACGGCCTAGGAAACATTGTCACATCTGTGCTGGGTGCGTTAGATGTGCAAGTGCTGGTTGATGGAATTCGTACGGAACATAAATTTCTCATCGTTCCCGATACAAAACTCAATGTCAACATAATTATTGGCTACGACTTTCTCAAAAAATTTATTGTTGTTTTGGAAAATGGAAAGTATGCTTTTACAGAAGGAGATAGCGGCGTTTTCGGGCAGGACGGTAGACGTTCCTCAAAAATACCAAGCAGCAGTCAAGCAGTTAATTGATAATTACAAGCCGTCTAAAGTTGAGCGAACCTGTCCTATAAAGATGACAATTATCCCTAATTGTAAGAATATGGCATTCAGAGAGCAACCAAGTCGATATGCAGCAGCAGAGAGAGAGATAATTCGCAACCAAGTAGAGGAATGGTTGGAACAGGGCATTATACGAGAATCCTACTCTGACGTGGCGAGTAAAGTTGTTTTAACCAAAAAGAAAGATAAAACGTTGAGGCTATGCATAGACTACCGTGTCTTAAATACGATGGTACTGAAAGATCGATTTCCGGTCCCACTTATAGACGAAATTCTCGATAAGATGCAAAGCGCGAAATATTTTTCTGTCTTCGACTTGAGGAATGGATTTTTTCATGTCGAAATCGATGAGCCCAGCCGCAAATATACAGCTTTCGTGACAAAAGAGGGACTGTTCGAATTTAATAGAGCTCCATTTGGCTATTGTAATTCGCCTGCAGTATTCGTAAGGTTTGTCACATATATTTTCCAACAGCTGATAAATGAAGGTATTATGGAAATGTATATCGACGACATAGTTGTTTTTGGGCGAACAGCCGAAGAGTGTCTAAGCAACATCCAGCGCGTATTGAAACAGGCGCAGCAGTATGGACTCGACATAAAATGGTCAAAATGTCACTTTTTGAAGGAGCGTATCACTTTCCTTGGTTACGAGATAGAAAATGGGAAGATATGGCCTGGGAAAGAAAAGGTAAAAGCTGTAAAAAAACTTCCGATGCCAATTAATATCAGAGGTATTCAGGCGTTTCTTGGACTTACTGGCTATTTTCGCAAATTCGTAAAAGACTACGCTTTTATTGCCAAGCCATTAACGGAACTGCTGAAGAAAGATGCCGTTTTTAAGATAGAAGGAGCACAAAAACAAGCAGTAGAACAACTAAAATCAGCACTAATAGAAGAGCCAGTGTTGAAGATTTGGAGTCAAAGCGCCAAAACACAGTTGCATGTGGATGCATCAAAACATGGCTTTGGTGGAACATTGCTGCAGCAGCACGATGGTAAATGGCACCCCGTTTTCTACTGGAGTAAGAAAACAACACCACAAGAGGAAAAACTTACCAGCTATGTACTTGAGGTAAAGGCAGCATACCTAGCAACAAAGAGACTCCGCCATTACCTGTTAGGAATAGAGTTCGACTTGGTAACAGATTGTGCGGCTTTTAAACAAACGATCTCCAAAAGAGATATTCCCCGAGAAGTAACGCCGTGGCTGATGTACTTGCAGGATTTCACCTTTAAAGCAGAGCATCGTGCTGGAAGCAGAATGCAGCATGTTGACAGCCTGAGTCGTTTTCCGGTGATGATCGTGACTTCCGAAGTTAATGCACGGATCAAAAGAGCACAACAGAGTGATGAACACTTAATGGCAGTTAGCGAAATTCTAAAGCAGAGACCCTATGCAGATTATGTTCTCAGAAATAACCTTATCTTTAAGCAGGTAAAGGGCCAAGATCTGTTGGCAGTACCAAAATGTATGGAAAAGGAGATAATAACAAACTCACACAATTTTGGCCACATGGGAGCGCAGAAAACAATTCACGCAATTCAGCAGGACTTTCATATACCACACTTGGAGAAGAAAACTAAGCAGGTAATTTCCAATTGTATCGAGTGTATCACCCATAATCAGAAATTGGGGAAACAAGAGGATTATTTGCACGCTATCGACAAAGGCGACACACCCCTCTCAACGTTGCATGTGGATCATTTGAGTTCATTGGACAATACATCGAAGAACTACAAGTATATATTTGCTGTCGTAGATGGTTTTTCAAAATATACTTGGCTATTTCCTACAAAGTCGACAAATGCGGAAGAAGCTATCAAACACCTGGAATCATGGGTTTCAATATTTGGCAGCCCGCAGAGAATTATCAGCGATAAGGGAGCGGCGTTCACATCGCATTCATTCAAGGAATTTTGCGCAACGAACAATATTGATCACGTCGAAACAACAGCTGGCGTACCAAGGGGTAACGGACAGATTGAACGGGTTAACAGGGTTATCATTTCAGTACTCTCAAAAATGTCAGCAGCGGAACCAGCAAAATGGTATAAATACACATCGCAGGTGCAACAGGCCATAAACTCTCACATACATGCATCAACTAGATACACGCCGTTCGAAGTCATGTTTGGTGTACGTATGAGAAACAACTCCAGTGCTGAGCTTCTGAGGATCCTTCAAGAGGAGATGCTGTCGAACCTGCAAGAAGAACGTAAGGAAATTTGGCAAGAAACCAGGCGCCAAATCGAAAAAGCCCAAGCTGCTTACAAGGAGAGTCACGACAAGAAGAGAAAGGGGCATCATGGTTATCAGCTAGGCGACCTAGTAGCCATTAAGGTGACGCAGTTTATAACTGGAAGGAAGTTATCCAACAAATATATCGGCCCGTATGAAGTCATTCGAGTGAAACGGAACGGCAGATATGATGTTAAGAAGGCAGCTGAATTTGAGGGTGTACTACAGACCTCTACAAGCGCTGACTTTATGAAGCTGTGGCGCTATGCTTACTGCGAGGAAGAAAATGAAGAGCAGAGTGAAGAGGAGGAGACATCTGGGACAGATGTTTTGCAGGATGGCCGAATGTAAAGTGGTAGTATTGGCGTGAGTCGATAGTCCTCACTCTGATCGCCCACCACCAAGGATTGGGCCATCTCAAAGTCGTCGTGGTTGGTATGTCAGTAGTGGAGTTGGTCGGCAGATGTCAGAAAGTAAAGTTGAATAAGTTGTTTCTAAAGTCGTCAAAATCAGCAGTTCTGTTAATTACATATAATCAAAACCTTTAAACATTATACATTCATATATCCTACTTGTGTACAATACTCAATAAAACACTGATAATATAAAATTATCTTACATATATTGTTAGGAATATTTATTTATTTAATATTATTTTAAGTACTTATTGCGTAAGCCCCTTGTGCTGGTCTCCTGTCTTTTGGCGTGTGCTGAGTTTGCATTTTTGCTGGGTGTTGATCGCTTCACCTGGGAGTAGCGTTGGCTGCGTTGTCTCCTTTGACGAACCATGGGATCCATGGTTCGTTACACCCCCCCATTCTTCGGGGTGGGTGATGGAGAGATTTGTGGCGTCGCTTGGCGGGTGCTGAGGTTCGCCTTTTTCCGGATTATCCTGTCCTTTTGCTTGTGCCGAGTCTCCGGATTCGTCGCTGTTAATCTCGTCACTTTAGCGTGGCGTCGGTAACGTTATATTTTCTACTGCTGCTGTGATCGTGGCCTTTCTGCTGTTCTGGGTGCTTTGTAGTTGGTGTCTGCTTGGTGGGTCGATTATCCCATATGACGATGGTTTTCTCGGCAGTTTTCTTTGGTAGTTATTTGTCCAGGCATTCTCGAATCTGCGGTGCTATGTCGGGTGGCCAAGGATCCGTCGGTAGTTCTGGGTCGTCTTCGGTGGGTTCGGTGGCTCCGGGGTCAAAGGTTTGATTCGGGTCTTTCGGAAGGATGAGTTGGTCGAGTGTGCTGGACGGTTCGATCCTCCGTTGGTAGTCGCTTATGTGGGCGACGATCGGGGTGGTGTTGGCCGTGGGTAGATATGTTTCATATCTCTGATGCAATACTTAGGTGGTATTGGCGGTCGTTTGGCGCATGAACAGGTGAGTCTAGGTGATGCCTCTTGTGTCGGACCAACAGCTAGTTCGGGCGACGAAGGTCTCGGACCTGGCTCTAGGCATGGCTCGGTGCATGGCACTAGCAGTCAAGTCGGTACGCTGAAGGTACTCCATTGTGTTGGCGAGGATCGGTGTGGCGTCGGCCGTGGGTACGACAGGGCGGCGGTCGGTGCATTGTGGGGGTATCGTCCTGGTTTCCGGGCCCGCGTTGAGGGGCTCTGTGGATATCAGTTCGATTATGGGCCCCGACCAGCGTGGGGTTAGCGTGGCTGTTTCCCGTGTTGCTGGGCTGTCGGATGGTGGCTTCCGTTGTTTTTCTTCGATGCTGGTCGGCTTTGAGGGTGTCCGTGTGTTCAATTCTTCCGTTACGGATTCTGTGCGTGCTTGTTCTGTTGCTTGTCTTGGATCTGGGCATCCTGTGTCGAGTGCAGGGTCCAAGTGTGTTTGTCTCGTGTGGAAGACCTTCGTTTGGTTTATTTGGGAGGCGTGTTCCCTGTTCTTGGCCTAGGACGCGGTTGCTCCGTAGTGGCCGTGGGACTCGTTCTCCCGATTGCTTGCTTGCGGTTTGCTGGTGTTGGCTTTGGATTCGTGTTCTCCGTTGCGGGCCGGCGTTTTGTTTAGATGCCATTGGTTTGGGTGTCAAGTGCTGCGTTGCGTTATTGGGTGTCGTGAGCGTTGTGGTAGGTCGTGGACGTAGGTTCGTTGCGATTTGTTGGGGTTTCTGGTATCGAGGTCGGCGTCTTGTACGTAGATGGTTGTAAACATGGGTTCAGTGGGCATGGGGCGATGGTCTCGTAGCTGTAACAGCATGGAGCCGCATTGGATCGTCGTTTCGGTGGCACCTAGGAAGTCCATGCCGACAATGACTTGTCCCAACATGTTTGGCAGGACCAGGAGCGGGATTTGAACCTCTCGTTGATCCAGCTTGATGTGCGTGAACTTGTGAGATCTCTCTGACCGAGCCATCGGCCAGGCGTATGCATCTTGCAGGTTGGTGTTGTTGTCTAGTTGTCGTGCGAGGTTTGCGCTGATGAGGCTTTTGGATGCCCCTGTGTCGACGGTGGCTTCCGTTGCCTGTCCTCCTATGGTTACCATTGCCACTATCCGGTTCTCGTTCATGTGTGGCGGGGTTTTTATTCGTGGGTCGGGCAGACGTCGTTCCCGGCTGATCCCGTGTTAGTCGAGGACGCGAGTCGTTTCCCAACGTGTTCTGGCGACAGCAATCGATGGTCCGGGTGCTGCGCTTGCCACATTCCCAGCAGAA